AAGACTTTGCATAATCAATAAAGTGCGGGTAAAATTCTTTCTGGTGTTCTCTGCTTTCAGCCAAGATCAAACTGATGCCGGCAATGATATACCTCATTCCATGTCCTTGTCTGAATCTGGGCTGAACCTCTGGCAGTTCCCTGTCAGTGTACTATTGCAGCCATTTAAAAGTTATCTTTAGATAAATTTTACTAAATTTTAATATACTAAATGTAGCCTCATATGTATGCGAAAGCTGGACAGTGAATAAGGAAGACCATAGAATAGTTAATGCATTTGAATTATGGTGTTGGAGGAGAATATTGAAAGTGCCATGGCTGCCAAAAGAACCAACAGATCTGTGTTGGAAGAAGTGCAGCCAGAGTGCTCCTTGGAGGCCAAGATGGCCAAGAAGCACTCATACTTCTGGCATTTTGTCAGGAGGGACCAGTCACTGGAAAAGGATATCATGTTTGTTAAGGTGGAGGGTCAGAGAAAAATAGAAAGAACCCAGCGAGATGGATTGGCAAAGCAGCAAAATCAATGGGCTCAAGCGTGGCAACAATTGTGAGGTTGGGCCAGGATCGGGCAGTGTTTCATTCTGTTGTTCATAGAGTCGCTATGAGTCGGTACCAACTCAATGGCACCTAGCAATAAATGTGATATTAATGATATTTTTCTATGATTTCCACCTCTTTTTGGAATGGGCACAAATATGCATGTTTGATCCATTTAAGACTAAAGAAGTTGGTTGCTGTTGCGGTTAAGTGCAGTGGAGTTCATTCTGACTCATAGCCACCCTGTATAGTGTTTCTGAGGAGATGCTGATGAGTTTGAAACTCCAAACCTGCATTTCAAGCTAACCTTGGGATCCAGTGCTTATCCTACAGTGCCAAACTAGGACACCAAATAATCCTATGAGACCTGGTATTCCCAGCAGCTTCCCATACAAGTACTAACTAAGCCCGACCCTGCTTAGCTTCTGAGATCAGGTGAGATAGGGCACATTCAGTATGGTTGTTGTTGTTGTTAGGTGTCATCAAGTCGTTACTAACTCACAGAGACCATATGCACAACAAAATGAAGCACTGTCTGATTATGGGCAACCTCACAATTGGTGCTACGTTTGAGCCCATTGATGCTGCCACTGTGTCATTCCATATTGTTGGGGGTCTTCCTCTTATTCTCCGACTCTCCACTTTACCAAACATGATATCCTTATCCAGTGACTGGTCACGCCTGACAATATGTGCAAAGTATGAAAGATGAAGTCTAGCTATCCTGGCTTCCAAGGAGCACTCTAACTGTATTTCTTCCAACATAGATCTATTTGTTCTTTTGGCAGTCCATGGTACTTTCAATATTCTTCTCCAGCATCATAGGTCAAATGCATAAATTCTTCTATGGTCTTCCTTACTCACTATGCAACTTTTGTACGCATATGAGGTTATTGAAAATACCATAGTTTGCATCAGGTGCACCATAGTCCTCAAACTGACATCTTTGCTCTTCAGTACTTTTAAGAGAGGTCTTGAGCAACAGATTTGCCCAATGCAATACACCATTGGATTTCCTGACTGTTGCTTCCATGAGTATTGATGGCTGATCCAGGGAAAATGAAGTCATTCAGTGTAGAGTTCTTCAATTTCATCAAAATTGGCTTTAGTCATGTTTTCAGACCACAATGCTATAAAACTAGAAATCAACAATAAGAAGACCAAGGAAATAAAGTCAAATATGGAAACCTAATAACCCCCTTGATCGCTGAAAGTGAAGAGGACTTGAAACATTTACTTATGAAGATTAAAGAGCACAGCCTTCAATATGGATTACATCTCAATGTCAAGAAAACAAAAATCCTCACCACTGGACCAATAAACAACATTCTTATCAATGGAGAAAAGATTGAAGTTGTCAA